AGATAGATAGATAGATAGATAGATAGATAGATAGATAGACAGGTAGATAGATATAACTACTGAAAAACTTTTTTTTTTGAGACAGGGTTTCAGTAGATCAGGCTAGCCTTGAACTCTCAGAGATCCACCTACCTCTGTGAGTGCTGGGATTAAAGGCTGTGTCACCACAGCCTAGCTCTTTTCTTTCTTTTCTTTTTTCTCTTTCTTTTTTTTTTCTTTTGAGGCAGGGTTTCACGTAGCCCAAGCTGACATCCAAATTGCTGTATACCTAAGGATGGCCTTGAAGTGATGCTCCTGATCCCACTTCCCGAGCACTCAGATTGCATGTGTGCACTAGCATACCTGCTATATGAAGTGTTGGGCTCCCAGGGCTCCAAGCATGCTAAGAAAGTACCTTGTAACATTCTCAGTCCCTGGCTGATGGTCTCTGTAACCGTCCACCCTTAGAAGCATTGTGGTAACTGTCTCTATGCATCCTTATGCACTGCCTGTGCAGGACGGCAATTGAGCAGGAGTCACACGCCAGGAAGCTCTCCTCACTGCAGATAGGACCTCGCTTAACTTTCCTGATCCAAGAAGTAAGGTCATTGTGATCCCAACTTCCCCATGAAAAGCAGGGGACATTCGATGACTTGCTTGGATCACATCTGGAAGTACAGAGCTAGTGTTCAAGCTCAGACCTGTGGGCTAGCAGCAATGTGAAGAAATGGCTGCATATAAAGTATAAACGCTGTCTAAATGCTAAATTTCCAGCCAGAGAGGGGTTTGCCGTGTGTGCGTGCGTGCGTGCATGCGTGTGTGTGTGTGTGTGTGTGTGTGTGTGTGTGTGTGTGTGTGTGTTTTTCAAGACAGGGTCTTATATAACTTTGGCTGGCCCTAAACTCACTTTGTAGACAAGGGTGGCCTTGAATTCATCTTCCTCCCTCCACCTCCTGAGTGCTAGGATTTTCACTCTGTTCTTATAGTTATTGTTGCTCTGACACACTGCCGTGGTGTTGAGTGTCTGCAGGGGTGAGGAAGCATATCTGTGGATCTGTCTTCCCGTCACTGACTCCCTCGTGGACCTGCATGATGGATACACAAGCAGTTCTTTCCCCTGGAGTCATTTCCCTCTCAGACACTGAGGGCCTCTCTCCTTCCTTTGCACTCCAGCAAATCACGCCTAGCACTGGATTCTCCCAGAGTCCCAAGTTTGCATCGGACCTGTTCCTTCTCACTGAGAGAAAAACTGGGCCAAGAGCTCCTGTTTGTTTTTCTTTCCTTTGTTTTTCTTTTTCTCCTAAATTGGGTATGAGTAAAAGACAGGAATTAAGGAGTTGCTTTATCCTAGACAGTTGTAGCATTCATAGGGAGGTAGAAGGAGGATGGGTGGTTATCATGGCAATGTTTTCTAGTTAACGCAGTGTTTCACAGTGTTTCCTGTAGAAAGTGTGTTTGAGGAGACACAGATCCATTTAAAAAAGAGTGTGCAGACAACAAAGTGGTAAAGGACTGCGTACCATCTTAGATAGTCACAAGTCACCGTAGCATGTTAAAGATGCTGAGGAACTGTAGAGTGAAGCCACTCAGATTTTGGGTTTATCACTTGATATTTAGAAAAAGAGATGTAGCATATGCCACTCTGGTTACAGTGCTCATCTTCCCTCGCTTTCATACAGAAATGTGCATCTTCATCAGTTGGCCATGGATTTCTAAATAACACATTTAATTTTGCTCAGTTGAATCATGGCAAAAGTGACATTATACTTTCCTCGTGGGCATTGCCTCTATGATTTATCTATATCATTGCTTGTGCCCGTGTTCACTCAGTCTTCAGTGCTGCGTAACACTTCCTTCTGTGGACAAACCAGTTCATTTCCGAGTCACCTGTCTATTGAAACCTGGAAAGGTTTTTTTGCTTTGTTTTGTTTTGTTTTGCTTTGTTTAAATTTATTTTGCTATTGCTTCTTTCAAGGAGAAAAAAAACATGAGCCAAGAGTATTGGCATAATACGATTCTGTTGTTTGGGAGCATAAAAGATGCTTACAGTGACTGTGCACTAGCACTTGAGGCAGGAGAGGAAAGGGAGAGGACATACCTTTCTTCAGTGATCCCAGGCTCCACCCAGGGAATTAAAGAAACCTGTGTCTCTCTAATTAGAATATGATTATAATTCCTAGGAGCATGCAAGAATACAAAATAAATGAAACATGTCTTTTGGAGTATCTATTTTCATATAATTTGGGGGATGTGCAAAGCATTAATAAAATAAAATGAACTTGGGGGGAAGGAAAGTACAAAGGCTTCCAGGAAAACAGATAATTCCCAAGTGCTGGAATTCAGTGTGCACCACACTTGGCTTACAGCTATTTCTTCTTACATGGTACATAAAGACATGAAAGCTACATATTCTGTTTTTATATTGCACATACTTAGTGTATATATGGTAGGGGACATACCATGGACATGTATGGACTTTAGAAGAAAACTCATGGGCACTAGTTCTTCCTTTCCACCATGGGCATCCAAAGATCAGAGTCAGGATATCAGGCTTGGCATCACTCATCTTCTCCCACAAAGCCACCTCACTGGCCAGTCAGTGCATGTGTACATTAGACAGTCAGTCCCCACAAATCAGCCTCCCCTCCTTCCACCCTCCCTCACGTGTAATGTCTGCCTGTGGACTACAGTGAAAAGGACGAAGATAGTGATGATTTAGATATGGACATACATATGCAGCATTGTCTAGGAACAGTTATTCAAAGCGATTGCCTTAATAATGAACACATTAATGCTGTGAGTGTTGATTTCTGCTCTGTCACCAGAGACTAAAAAATAAAGATGATTCAAGCATTTTAAAAAGAATTTATTTTATGAGTGTGTGCCTCCATGTGTGCATGTGTACTGTATGTATCGCTGGTGCCTACAGAGGCCATCAGATGCCCTAGAACTAGAATGTTTATGAACCACGTGGGAGTGCTGCGAACTGAGCTCAGGGCTTCTGGAAGTGCTCTTATCTGCTGAGCCACCTCTCTGGCCCAGCGCCTGCTTTTCTGTGTAGGACTCAAGAGTTTTCAAGGTTTGCTTTTCTGAGTTAAGAATGAGGCTCTCAGTCCGTCCATCTGTAGAGCTGGGCAGCACCCTGGCAGGAGCATAGTGACTACGTCCTAGTGCTGTCTGTGCCACACCCCTGCCCAGATGTGCTTGTACATCTGGCTATTAAGGTAGGACTCGTAGCTGTGGTCCTGTGCACATGTAGGCCAGTTCAGTCCAGTCATGCACAGTAAACACAGTCTGTTAAATTGAATTTAACTGAACTGGATTGGATCCTAGCTCCACAAGAGATTTTTTAGTTTGTTTTTAGGTGAGACTGATTTTTTAGAAATCTAGACAAGCCATTCTTTTTGTTTCATTGTTTTTAAACACAATCTAAATTTAGGATGCAGCTACCAATATGTTGGTTGCCCATAATTTTTAAGCACTCTGAGCAGTGAGTCATCAAAGTCCCTAAATAGATATTTGAAAAGTCACAATAGCCCTGGGAAACAAAATTAGGTTTGGCAAATACCGTGTTTTCTCTTTGCAGTCAGGAATGTGTGGTCTTACTGATCTACATGGGAGGAACGCTCTGTATAATTTTAGCAAGTTCTTTTCCCTTCATACTAGAGTTGAAAATGAGCAAAGATCCCCTGACAGGCTCCAATAGGGTGCCCAGCAGCTTCCTTCTTACTGGAAACCACCTGCTGGGGACTGTTTCCTTCCCAGATGGCAATGTGGCATTCTCCTGACCCTGATTCAGCCCCTCCAGCATTGCCAGTCTGATGGCTGAAAGGAGGCCACACAGAGGCAACTATGTTTCAGTTGAAAGCAATGGCCATGGCCTCTACTCCTTCCCTTCATTGTTTGTCTCTAATGGAGTTTAGAGTTTAAATCCTCCAAGCCACAGCATCTTCCAGCTCTGAACTATAAAGCAGGGTGGGATACTTTCCATTCATCCCTCATGGGAGATCATGCTTACAAACGCCATCAAACAACCCAAATGTTAGAGAAAAGCGCCTCACACCAATGGGCAGCTACTTTAACTAATTCATTTATCTAGCCTATGTGTTTAGAGGGGCTTTGCTAAGCCCTGGAGAACTGACTAAGTAAAACTTACTCCAGCTTAAAGCAGCCCGTCTCAGTGAAAGTAAGAACCAACCAACACCTCAGGCTGCCCTCTGCCCTCTGCATGCATGCTGTGACACACATCACACACACAAAGGCTTTTTAGAAAGATTTTAAACAGTAAAGACTATCCAATAGGATTAGATCTGCGTTTTAAGAAAATATAGTAATTTGTACTAATGTAACATGGTCCTAAGGCAGTGGTTCTCAACTTGTGGGGCATGTGCATATCAGATAACCTACATACCAGATATGTACATTATGATTCATAACAGTGGCAAAATTAGTTATGAAGTAATAACAAAATAATTTTATAGTTGAGGGTCACCACATGAGGAACTGTATTAAAGGGTCACAGCCTTAGGAGGGTTGAGAACCACTGTCCTAAGGTAATACATAAAACCTTGCCCTTAAAAGATCTGGGGTCCCATAGTTTCTTTTTAAAGTTTCAGTGGGTAGGGACACTTGTTGCCAAGCTTGATGACCTGAGTTGACCCTGTGACCTCTACACAAACACTGTGGCACATGGCATAGCAGCTACACTTACAATCTCACCCTTAGGAGGCTGAGAGAAAAGGCTTGTGTGAAGCCAGTCGCATTACACAGTGAGCTCCAGGCCGGCTAGCGCTATGTCACAAAATCCTGTCCAAGAAAAAGAAAACACAATAACGTGCACAAAGGCGTTGTCCTCCTGGGCTGGATGTTCTGTCTGGCGTCCTCAGACTCGGCACACGGACAGGGTCACCCAGAACGTCCCCAGCTTTATTCACGTTACTTAGGTCAGTGCTGTGAGGGTGGTGCTCTGTTTTGGTGAGCCTTTTGCTTTTCTGCCAAATAACCTGGAATCTCTTTGTCAGTTTCCTAGAGGAAGTCCTGGCTTCTGGGCTGCACAGCCGCAGCAGGGAGAGCTCACAGGCCACCTCAAGGTCAGCAAGCAGAAGATGAGATGGCAATGGAGAGCGTCGAGAGTGTCACGGCCTCCTCTTACCCTGCCTCAGCCCTTCCCTGCTGACCAGGGGCTTCAGGGTGGCCCTTGTTCTAGCTCACTCCAGGTAACCCCGATTCCTGAACTGCAGGCACAGACACCGGGAATGCCAATGATGAGCCCACCCCAGCCCACTTGTGACTCTGTATCAAATAAATATGTTCTTTGTGTATTTGACAGCACAGTGGCTTCAGTGTTTGATGGGCTTGTTGAGATGGTACATGAGAAATGCATTGTCAGAGGTAAGAGGGACTCAGAAAGCCATGTGATACACATGGGACCATCACTTATGTCCTGTCTTCTCTTGATATCCTGAGCAAGTGAAGTTCTGACAGGAGCCAGCCATGTTAAGGACCATGGAATCAGACCTTTGTGAAGTTGACAAAGCCTTTCTCCCAGATCATGTTCAGAAAGGCAAATCTTCAAGTAGAATGTTCTAGAAAGGTTGACCACTGCATGTAAAAACTAGCAACTGCAGCTTCTTCCTCCAGGATGACTACAGCCTGAGACTGCTCCCCTACAGACACCACCTACCAAGAACAGCCTGAGACTGCTTGCCTATAGATAGATACCACTTACTGAGACCAGCCTGAGACTGCTCCTCTACAGACACCACCTACCGAGACCCGCTAACCTCTCCTTATGGGCTGTACATAAGTGCACAGAGGCTCCAGCTCCATCAGAGTGCAGACAGTCCATATGGATCCGTGTTTGTGTCTGTTCTTTCCTCTGCCCCAGTCAAGGTTCCAGGACCAAGGCTCAGGGGACACAGCCCCTTGTCCCGTTACCTCCTCCCTCACACCCATTTCTTTGGAGAACCATTTGCTGTGACATGGAGAACCCATGTGAGGTTGCAATAAGAATCCATCTGCAGAGTGATGTTGTTTGACTTCTTTGAGGCTCATTCATGAGAATTCACAAGGTGAGACTCGAGAGGGTGTTAGACATACAATGAAGGCACAGCCTGTGTCCAGGGCATGTTTAGTTATGTGAGCAGATGAAAGCTCTGGTCTATTGTGCCTCTCCTGAAAGCAGTGAAGAGTGAAGGCATCAGGATGTCAGGAAATCATTGTCCTCAGATAATCATGTTCATTTACATGTAGGGCCCTTGAAACCAGAAAGGGCATCTGATCTCCTGGAGCTGGAGATCAGAGCCTGTCCAGTGTGGGCGCTGGCAGCTGAACCCAGGTCCTCCGCAAGAACAGCAGGCACACTTCTGCTGAACTCCAGCCCCTTAACTGATATGTTGAGAAGTATTCCCTAGCATCATTCAAATTTGTCATATATATATAACATATACTGGACATATTAGTCTTCTGTGGCTAGCTCAGTTTCCTCCTCCATAAAGATAATTAGTGCCTTCCTCATGTGACAGTAAGGACTAAACACAATATTCAGTGCAATATTTAAAGAGCTAATTCTATTATTTCTGGTCTCTTTTTATTAAAAAAAATTTAGTTAAGGAGATATGTTTTTAATAACTCTCCCTCTCTCCCATAGATTAAAATGTCATGGTCAAAACATCAATCCTATTTTTAAAATAGGATTTTAAAGTCAAGGATATTTGTTTTTAAATGTCAGCTCAAATATTTCTGCCCAGTAAACTTACAAACAACAATTCACAAGATGTTACCTCTGAGAGTTTTTGCTTATCCCCCTAACTGCTGAGTAGAGCTATTGATGATGTTCTTACAGGTGGGCATGCTAAGCCACACTTGTCCTCCCAGGATCTTATCTCCCTGGAGAGATTAACTCAAGTTATATTTGTGTGTTCGAGTGCGTGTGATGCTCACTGAGTGCTATAACAATGTGTAAAGGAAACCAGAAGTGCTATTCCAATTTCTCACTTAAGCACTGGTCTCTAAAAACAGTCCCACTTAGATCCAAATGCAGGTGCTGTGAGGTTCACTCGGTGAGAAAAGCCAGCTTTAAAGCAAACCAGCTGGCTTATAGGAACATGCAGTGTCAAGGCAAAGAAACAAAGGTGAGGGAGAAGGCCAGGACGATGACATTAATATTTGAGGTTACTGGGAAGGAGGAGTCAGGAGGGATGGGGACTAGCCAGAGATTTATGTAATATCTCAAGACACAGACAGGCAGGGAAGGTTCTTCAGCCCACATGCATCTGCTCCAGAGTCTGAAAATTACTTTGGTTATTTTTTCTGAGTCCCTCCGCCTGATGTTTCACAAAGCACTAGCTCCTGTCTGATGCTGTGCAGAGAGCCCAGAGTCTTGCACACTGGAGGGACTCTAGTATCTGTTGACTAGATGAAAGCTCCAGAGGAGAAAGAGATGAGGCAAAGTCCTGAATTCCTTCTGCATTGAGCCAGAATCTATCTTTCTATTTCCTCCTTGGAGTGCTGGTGATTAAGCTAGAGCCCCTGCCGAATGCTAAGCAAAGTGCTCCACTGCGGAGCCACACCCTCAGCCCCTGTTTAAACTTGGTAAATCAGGTGGAGACAGGAGGATTAGCAGATCAAGACCAGCCTTGGCTATGCAGCAAGTCTGAAAGTACTGTAGACTGTGTAAGACCTTGTCTTAAAAAAAATAAAGACAAGGGGGCTGGAGAGATGGCTCAGGTGTTAAGAGCACTGACTGCTCTTCCAGAGGTCCCGAGTTCAATTCCCAACAACCACATGGTGGCTCACAACCATCTGTAATGGGATCCAATGTCCTCTTCTGGTGTGTCTGAAGACAGCTACAGTGTACTCATATAAATAAATAAATAAATAAATAAATTCTTAAAAAAAAAAGACAATCCCACGCATTCAGCATTCTTACCTGCCCAGCCAACAAGTTTCCAAAAACTCAGGTAGGCTAATTCCTTCAGCTGTGTCCTCATGCTGGTACATATGCGCCCTCCTAAAAGCCTTTCTTTGCCTTTTAAACAGGACAGTACCAAACTGCGATGGGGAGGGGATAGTCTGGAAAGTGTGCTGTGTGTGTTCAAAGTCTAAAAGGTAGACCAGGGTTAGAAAACCTACATTCTAATTTCGTGTAACAGCAGTGTGTCAATTTGAGCATGTCGAGTGGTTCACTGTGCTGGATTGATCTCTTCCCAAGGGATAACCCTCGTTCTTCTATGCCTTACAAAATGGTACTCAACATTTTTAAGTGCCAAACTAAGAGCATTTTGAAAGCATAAAGTTCTGTACCTACCTGAAATAGAAATCAATTAATATGGCTAGTGAGATTACAGGATTGGGAAGCAAGGTGGGTCTGAGAAGGGGTGTCTTTCTTGATAACCCGCCCCCCCCCCCAAAAAAAAAGCCCAAACATCCTCCGCGCCTCAAACCACAAACTTACCAACACTTCATCTTGAACGTCTCTGGAAAAAAGATTTTTTTCCCTGCTCTGTGCCAGGGAGCTTTACTCATGTCGTGGTGGTTATGTTTATCATACACCAGGTAATAGGTTTATTAGCTTACTGTCTGGTAGTAATTGAATCTAAAAGACAACATTGGGGACCTCACGAGGCTTTCCTGGGCCAGCTGATCCTCCTTTTACCAGGTAGGGGAACGGAGGAAAGCGGGGCTCAAACTTGGGCTCCCTCCAAGCCTCATCAGAAACACGGAGCTCAGAAGGGCTCGCGGTCCGAGCGTCCTCCGGGCCTCCCCACCGCTGCACGCGTGTTTACCGCAGGCCTGGCGGGGCGCTCACGCACGCCCGGGAGTAGGTCGAGAGTGGAGACTCCCGGGGCTCCGCCAGCCGGAGTCTGCGGGTCCCAGGCGGCCGCTCTCCCACGGCGCCTCCGCTCCATCCCGCTCGCCACGCCTCGGGCCCGCCCCCATCGCCGCGCCTCCCGGTTATCCGCTCGCGCCTCCCCCGGGTGCCGGGTCGGAAACAAAGGCGTGGGGCGGGGAGCGCACGGCGGCGGCGCCGCGGTCCGCCCTTCATTCGGAGCCCGCGACGTCAGCGGCGGTGGCCCGGGCCCGTGCGGCGGGGGCGGGCATGGGCGGCGAGGGCGGCGGGGGCCCGGCCTGCGGCTAGCGCGAGCCGCCGAGCGAGCAGCGGGCGCGGCCGCCCGATCCCGCCATGAAGAAGAGCGGCTCGGGCAAGCGGGTGAGTGCACGGCGCGCGGACAATGGGGCCGGGGGGGCGGGGAGGGCGCGGAGACCCGTCTGAGCCGCTGCTCCTCGTCTCGCCCCGGGCAGGGGCCTCCGGATGGAAACCATCAGTCTGCGGCGCCCGAGAAGGTCGGCTGGGTCCGGAAATTCTGCGGGAAAGGGATTTTCAGGGAGATTTGGAAAAACCGCTATGTGGTGCTGAAAGGCGACCAGCTCTACGTCTCCGAGAAGGAGGTAGGCGCCCTTGCCCGAGCCGTCGGGACCCCGTCCCCAGGCGGCTAGTTCTCCGGCTTGCCCCGCCTCCATCTCTGCAAGTTCAGGGGTCGCAAAAGTCCTGTGTCTGCGAGAAAAGTCACCCCCGAGTGAGAGAACCTCAGTGGGATTTAGGAGTTTACTTATTTGATGCGCCTTTGCGGACACCTTTCTCAGAAGTTCTAACGCCGCCGCCTCTCGCTCTTTTCTGACCCTCTAAAATACGGTTGGGGGTTTTTGTGGGTTCTGTCTTTGTTTTTGTTTGATTTGTCGTTGAAACACACTGAAATTCTTATCCCTCGACCCTTCTTGCCTCTCTTACCCCCAACCCACAACCCTTTCTGTTCCTGCCTGGCAGGGAGGGGGTGCATATATGTAGGTCCCCTGAGTAGCACAGTCACCCTAAGTCATAGAAAACACAACTTGGAGTCAGTCTCTGGGACCAGAGGTAGAGTAGCCGTGACTGCTGGATTTTTGTAGGAGACAGCATCCTGAAGCAGGCTTGTTCCTCACCTTCCACTCCACTTAAAGGGTAAAAAAAAAAATCAAGGAACTCATATCTGCCCATCTTTATTTGTAGATGGGGAATGGAGTTTGGACTGTGTGTGCCTGTGTGTGTCTCCATGGCTTTGGCTCTGTAGTTTTACAGGAAACCGCAGCCCACACGGGGTCAGAATGTAAAGCCAGGACATGGAATCCAGACCCCTTTCCCCCTTTGTTAAGTCCTAACTCTTGACTCAGTAACAAGAATGCTGAGAAACTGAACTTGCTTCTCTGACAGACTGGCCCTTCCTCTCTTGCCTGCGTGCCCTCACCCAAAACCCTTAGCTCTAACCTGTTCTGCTTTTGTCACTAGACACTTGCTTTCTGCCCTTGTATTTGGGTAAATAAAGCCTTTTATGGTGTGGAAGCAGATACACTTGCAGCCCGAGAGAGGTACTCATCTGAAAACAGTCTACTGAGACAAGCAGAGCTAACTAAACAGTGTTGAGCCTCCAGGTTCCTTCTGAAGGGGCCTAAACATAACGGTTGGAGAGGCTTGGAAGCCAGCTCAGGGAAGACGTGACAGAGTTTGTTCTTGAGGGTCCCTGCTCTCAAATCCTAACGAGAGCTCCCCCAATGATTTCTTGCTTTTTAGTTTTGTTTATTTTAAAAAGCAGCAGTATCACTGTGTATCTCCTGTCTTCCCCGAACTTCATAATGCCAGGAAATGTAGTTAGCAATCAGGAAGGGCTTCCTACGTGTCTGAGGGGAAACCAGAGGACAGTGAAAGGCTACAGAAACAAAACAAGGCCATTTTTTTCCTTCTTATATTTGTCCAAAAGGCAGAACCTGGGGACAAATGTACATGGTGACTTTGGTAATAAACCTGTGTATGAAGGGAGGGATACAGACCAGAGAGAGGATAGGATGACCTCAGCCTAGAGTGTCCACTGTCCTCTGACTCAGGAGCATCTGACTAGACCTGAGGCCAGATGCCCCCTGCTGGGAAGGGCAGTGGAAAAGAGGCAAGTGCACCTTATACTGACCCTTCTTCAGAACCAACTCCGTGGTTGAGTGGGCCTGGGCTAAGGGCAAAGCTGCCAAAAGACACTGTTTACTCAGCCTGTAAACAAAAGCAGCAGCAGCAGCAGAGCTACAGACTGAAGAGGTAGATGCAAAAGCATAGTGTATTTGCAATTCACATGCAGATGCGAAAACACATTGGTGAGCATTCCTCCTTTCCTGGGGAAGTGAGGTCTCCCATAGCTTCTTCCTCTAGAGAAGCCTAGTGGGTGCTGTGGGTCATTCCTAACTCATCAAGGGCGTCCTTTTGTAAAGAGGGCTGACCTGATGAAGGACCAGAGGTAACAGAGCCATCCTTATGTTAGGTGACTTCACAGTAGAGGAAGTCAGGTTGAAAGCAGTGCTTAGTACATCTGTGGCCCACGAGCGGGAAGGGTTAATTGGGAAGATGTAGACACAAATGAGACTTTGGGAATTCAGTGTGAGGAAGAGACAGAGTGCAATAGAACACGAGGTGCCAGGGGCGCTGTCTTTTCTGGGCACTTGCATCTACTTCTCCTGCTGCCCGCCTCACCCGGCCTCCCACCCTTGCCCTTCCTGACCTCTGTCAACGCTGTCCTCTCCCAGAGCGCCTTATCAGCCTTGTCCATGCCAGGAGAGCTCCCTTCCCTTCCCTGGGAAAACAGAACAAGTGAGTCCCTTCCCCTGGTCGCACACACCCAGCTCTTTCCTCTCCAAGCTTTCTGGTCTCTGCTGATAGTCTCTCTGGGGAAGGCACGGGAGAGGAGGTTGCTGCATCATCCCACATTCCAGCCTGTGCTGCTGTGGATCATTCTGGAGTGATTCTTGTCCCAGGTCCACTGTAATATTTAAGGCCCTCATCCTACCCAAAAATCAGGGAGCCCTAGGAAAGGGAGAACCCTGGAGAGCCAAACCTTGCCAGGCAAATGGCAATAGATGAATTTTCCCCACGCTCTCCCACAGCACATGTGCTCAGCAATTCAAAAGGATGGGCAGATCGGCTAAGGGCTTGTAGACGGCTGCCAAGGGAGGCATGGGCCTCCTTATACATGTTTGCTTGGTTTCAACTTTTCCCGGGGAATCATGACCGGCTCATTCCTGGCATATTCCCAACCAAGTAGATGAAGGGGATAGCCTGCTGATGAGGAAGTCTCCTGTAATGTCAGACGTTTAGAAGAGAGAGCAGGTGGAAAGGAACACTCTGTGAACTATAGTATTCCCTGAGGCCAGAAGCAGCCCTTTGTCCCTTCCAGATGTTGGCTGCCTTTTCCCCTTCCCCTGGACTATATTAGCGGTCACTCTTGTCTTCCTTACTTGGAAAGATCAGAGCAGTCCATTCACCACGTCCCTTTAAGGACATGCCCCTTTAAGGACTTGTAAGCTGCGTCCTTCAGAGACAGAGTGAGGGTCATGGGTAGAGGGAGGCACTGGGATGGTAGCTTGTGGGGAGTGGGTTAAACAGAATCCCATACAAGGCTCAGGTCTCAGCTCCATCCCCCAAGTATACACTTGGGTGGGATAGCTTCCTGCTGTCATCCTCCCCTTTCCTCTGGGGGAGAGGCAGAGTAATGTTATCCTTATGACACCCCAACCTCCCGTAGGTAAAAGATGAGAAAAATAGCCAAGAGGTGTTTGATCTGAGTGACTATGAGAAGTGCGAAGAGCTCCGGAAGTCCAAGAGCAGGAGCAAGAAAAATCACAGCAAGTTCACCCTGGCTCGGTGCAGACAGCCGGGCACCACGGTAGGCTCGCCCTCACGGCAGCTCTGGCTGCGGGGCCCAGAATTAGTCTCCCTCTGGCTTTCATTATTTAACTGGAGGATATTCTGACCGTTTCCTTTCCTCCAGGCAGGCCAGCCTATAACCTATTCAGCCATAAAGATCTCTCTCTCTCTCCCCTGTACCCCACTTTACACACACACACACCTACTGTACATATGTACATATTCTCTTGGGAGAAACATTATTGGTGCTTCTTCCCTGATGGGTGTCTGAAGTTCAAGGGAAGCCAGGGAAGCCATGCTTGTCACACCCTGTATCTTCAGACATCTGAAGATCGTTACTACCTAAGCACGGTCACACATCCCCGAGTTGTCCCCAGTGTCATCTTCTTAGCTCCCCCTCCATCTTTTCTAAAACAGCCTGTGTGTTTTGCAGGAACAGACTCTGGGTTCCTTCAGCTATCCCAGAAACAGAGCCTCTCCTTCCAGGAGCTGGATGTGAGGGGATGAGAGGATTATTTCTTTGAAAGTGGCGGGGGGGGGGGGGGGGGGCCATATTATAATGTATTTGTAAAACCCTGCTAAAGCAAGAATGTTCCCCTCACAGGCGCCCAACCTCATCTTCCTGGCGGTGAGTCCTGAAGAAAAGGAGTCATGGATCAATGCCCTGAGTTCTGCCATTACCAGAGCTAAAAACCGTATCTTGGATGAGGTCAGGAGCTTGTTGTGGGAAATGGGATGGGTGCTAGGGTGGGAAGCAAGCTGTGGCTCGCTAGATGGTGCGGGGTCCCTTTAGTTTCCCCAGCTCTGCTTTCTTGGCATTTTTTTTTTTTTAAGACAGAGTTTCTCTGTATAGCCCTGGCTGTCCTGGAACTCAATCTGTAGACCAGGCTAGCCTCGAACTCAAGAGATCTGCCTGCCTCTGCCTCTCAAGTGTTGGGATTATAAGGGTGTGTCACCTAAGTCCTGACCTTTCTCAGCTTCTTTAAAGGCCCTGTTGTGTTGTCCCACCCCCCACCCCCTCCCCCACCCAGTTTTCTCTCTTAAGTCTTTTCTCTGCTGATTCGAATCCCACACATATTTCACAATGTTTAATCTAGTCTCGGGTCAACTGTGTCCGTAAATCCTTCTGCCTATAGCCCTGCTCAGAAATAGTGGGTGGGATGGGCCTGTTTCCCAGTCCAGGCATATTAGGGGTTTCTCAGTCTGGACAGAGCCCTAAGAAACCCTGTGACTCACAGTGCATCTCTTCAGGTCACCGTTGAGGAGGACAGCTATCTTGCCCACCCTACAAGAGACAGAGCAAAAATCCAACACTCCCGCCGTCCTCCAACCCGGGGACACCTCATGGCTGTGGTATGTAAAACTGCAAGAAAGTTAACACTGCCCAGGGCCAGCTCTGTGCTGGTCCACCTCAGCTGTGTATAAGCAGGAGCATTGTGGGGTGTCCTCCTAAAACTAGGATCAAAGAAAGGCTCAGGAGACCGCTCCACCCCGTGTCCCCGCCTTTGAATCGATTCCTCTAAATCAAAATTACTTACTCAGCACCTAGCACAAGTCAGACATCTCTGTTCTCAAAAACTTCTGAGGAAATGAGAAATTCCCCCAGGACAGCGAAAAGCGGAAGTATTGGGCACAGAATGATGTGTGCTCCTGTGTGGCAGCCGGCCACTCAGAGGGGACGGTAGTGGTGGCTGGCCACTCTGAGGGGTAACGGCCACTCTGAGGGGTGACAGTAAGTGCTACACTCCCCACAGCAAACCCTCTACTAAGTGAAGTAGTGGTTTCTCTCTTCCAGCCTTGCTCCAAGTCTAGGGAGAGGCTGTCCTTGCAGGGGGAAGAACACAGGCCCGGGAGTCAGCAGACCCTGAGGAGGACCCATGGTCTCTGGGCTGCCTGTAACGTGGGCAGTGGCAATTCCTTTAGGAAGGTGGTTCTGAGGGAAATGGTCACAACTGCACATGGGCAACAGCACAGAACATACTGAATTCCCTTTACCACTTCTGTTCAATTATAATACTTAAGAAATAAGGGAACAACGGGCTGGAGAGATGGCTCAGCAGTTGGGAGCAGTGGCTCCTCTTCTAGAAGACCTGGGTTCAATTCCCAGCACCCACATGGCAGCTCACAACTGTTTCTAACTCCAATATCTGATACCCTCACACAGACATACATGCAGGCAAAGCACCAATGCACATAAAATAAAAATAAATATTAAAAAAAGAAGACAAGGTTCATTCAAGGCAAGGATTCAGAGTTCAGATATCAGAGCAGAGCTAAGGTGTGTGGCCAGGAGAACGTAGGCAGAGAAGCAGCCTCCTCTGTCTGTCTGTGTGGATCTTACTGTGACCGTGGGCCATCCCTATGACGCTAGGAGTCTACAGCACACAAGTAGACATTCCCTGCGAAGCTTGTAGTGGAGAAGAGAACAGACAATATGTAGGAAAGAGTAAGTTATAGAAAAGCAAAAGAAAGAGTTCAAATCGTCATCAAAGGGATTAAACAGCAGAGGAGAGGGTCTCAGTGGACTGGAGGGGGGGTCCCCTTCGGCCACAGCTTGCATTATTTATTCACTGCCTTCATTCACATCTCTTTTCCAGGCTTCGACCTCTACCTCAGACGGAATGCTAACATTAGACCTGATCCAAGAGGAAGACCCTTCCCCTGAGGAGCCAGCCTCTTGTGCTGAGAGCTTTCGGGTCGATCTGGACAAGTCTGTGGCCCAGCTGACTGGCAGTCGACGGAGAGCGGACTCAGACAGGATTCAGCCCTCTTCACACCGGGCAAGCAGCCTTTCTCGGCCTTGGGAAAAACCAGACAAGGGAGCCCCCTACACCCCGCAAGCACTGAAGAAGTTACCCAGTACAGAGAAGAGCCGATGTGCCTCCCTGGAGGAGATCCTATCCCAGAGGGACACTGCCCCAGCCCGCCCTCTCCACCTGCAAGCTGAGGAATCCCTAGCCCCTGTCCCCTTCCAGCCGGGACAGCTGTCCCGGATCCAGGACCTGGTAGCAAGGAAACTGGAGAAGACTCAGGAGCTGCTGGCAGAGGTTCAGGGACTGGGCGATGGCAAGCGGAAGGCCAAGGACCCCCCACAGTCTCCACCCGATGCCCAGTCGGAGCAGCTGCTGCTGGAGACAGAGAGGCTGCTGGGGGAGGCTTCGTCCAACTGGAGCCAGGCAAAGCGAGTGCTGCAGGAAGTCAGGGAGCTGAGAGACCTGTACAGGCAGATGGACCTGCAGACCCCAGACTCCCACCTCAGACAGACCTCCCAGCACAGTCAATACCGGAAGAGCCTGATGTGAAGGAGGAGGGGGCAGGTCTGGAATTTTGGGGGGCACAGACTCTTTATCTCCAAATGTTGCAGGATAAAGCTTTTTTATTTACCTCAATCCAAAAAAAAAAAAAAATCAAATTCATTGCTTTTGCTCATGCCTCACCTACTGTGGCTTTTTCCTACCAACTTCCCATATCAACAGATTGAGCCTTGAGGCCCAAGTACAGTGTTCTCACCTGTACAAAGAATAATATAGACAGGGCTTTCCGCCGTGCGTAGGCCACCTGCACCCAGGGCACAGTAGGGATCGGACCTGGGTGTACACAAGCCGTCTGGGTTAGAACAGACTGGGGATAGACGAGGTTTCCTCGGATGTCCCAGGTTCTCACTCTGAGGCTGAAATTTCAGCTCTGCAACTTGAGTTCTAGGGACACAGGGGCCAGTGCCACCTGTCCATGCCATAAGAGACGTGAGGTTTACCTGAGCCTTGAGAAGGATATGTGGAATTAAAGCCTCCCAGCCTTCTCAGCAAGGTGTACGTACAGGAGAGGACCACTAAGGTCAGACTCCAAGGCTGAGGCCCAGTGATGGTGGTTACCCAGCAGTGTGAGTGCCTCTTGTTTCCCTCCTACCAAGGATCCGAAGATTAAAAACTTGAATAGATGGGACCAGCTTGGTCTTTTGACTGGGGTGGAGTAACACACAAACTGGGGAGCAGCTGACTGGGGAGGAGCAGCTGACTCCGTGGAAGGGTTGAACTAAGAATGAAACTGGCTTGTGGTGGAAGCTGTGTGGGAAGGAGGGGAAACCAGACCTGCACCCAGCTTCCTCTTTCTGCCAAGCAAGGGTTCCTTTTACCCAGCCCATCTCCCGCCACTGCCGTCCGACATGCACAGCTTCAGAACAGCTCTCCCCACACCGCCGCCTGCCTGGCTTCCTTGCAGGCTCGTCCGTGGCAGACTGAGCTTTTCTAAGATTAAGTTTATTAGTGGTGATAAGAAGGAAGGCAGGCAGGCAAGGTCTGAATGATTCGGGAGATACAGGGTCATAGAGTCTTTTGCATCAAGCAAACAAGGGGTTAAAAATACAGGGATGTATCCCTTGTCCTTGATCCTCCTGAAGTCTCACCCCTTGCTGCCCTGGTGAACTTCCAGAACTTCCTGGTGGAAAGAGAAATAGTTAGGACAGACAGGCTCCAGGGGCCCAGGCTGGGGAGAGAGTAAGGGCTTGTGGGGGACCCCTCTGATTTCCAGTGTGTTAAGACATTACCACCTCGTAGATAAGCTGGAGGAGTCCTTCCAAATTAAAACATCTTGAGGAAAGGGATTCTGGGTTTTCAGACACACAGGAGTACTGGGGATTTGACCTCAGCACATTCTCTAACCATTGAGCCATCCCTCCAGTCTGCCAGCAGAGGGACACTTGTCATAGTCCCTGCCTCTCACTCACTAGGGTCACTAATGTTTTCCCCACATCTAGCTTGTAGCTATCTAGACACAAGTTCTGCACTTGAACCATGGAAAGTATCACAGAGTACTTCCTTACTGGGGTCCCCAGGCTCTCCTGACAGAGTGAGGGAACCAGGCTTCCCATCCCCTCAGAAGCTCCACATTCCACAGCTCTGGCCCGGTCTGCAGAGCCAGGGATTGCCACAGATACTAAAGGTGGGTTAAAATGACACACTTTCTGCCTCCCCATCTTCTCCTTTATCAGCACTTTCCATTTTCTCTTTCTTTTCGCCCCCACATAATGAGGAAAAAGACAAAACAATAATGACATATGTGTCCTAACACGCCAGTCATCTCCAGGGGAGGGACACGCGTGCACACACACGCACACAGCAGACACTGGGGGAACACGACGGGTGAGCACCAGTAGAAAAGCTCAGGGCTCTCTAGAGAAAAGCGGATGCTGACACCTCAGCCAGCAGCCCCAGCTCCCCAGCAGGTGTCCCAGCACCCAGCCGCTGCCTGCAAGTGATGAATGAACCTGGCTTTGAAACCACAGGGATCTGGATTCAAGTTCCAATTCTCACTTTTTCATTAAGAGGCCCTGGGCAAAGCCAGCTTGGTAAGAGTCTTGTTTTCTCCTCAGCAAACTAGAGTTGTTGACTGTAAAGCACAGCCCGTGGTCTATGCTTCTGTCCACAGTGGCCTCAAAGGCTGCTGGGACTACTTTGGCTCAATGACTAGTAAAGCAAATTCAGGAGGCCAGAGCACAGCTTGAATGAGGCACAGGCCACAGGGCTGATCGAGCGATCCTGCCGCTCTACTTCACATCCTTGAATGGGCCACGGCCATGCCCGTCCCCCTCTTCCAAGGAGGGCATACAAGGTACCTCCAGGCACAGTGCTGAAGACAGCTGCAAAGAGGGAATAGCGTGATTCCTGGTCTGCAAGCATTTCCGAGCTTCACACAAAGCCATGCTTCACACCAGAAAAGCAACCTAAATTCTACGCTGCTGGTGGGTGGCTGCCAGCAAGATTTCTGGTCATGTAAAAATGTTTTGAACCTAGCCACTATGACAGGATCACAGCAAATTATTCTAGCTTCCTCCCTGCCCCTCGTCCTCTACCTTTTACACTCCTGAGCCCCACGGTTGCACTGGGGTGGCTTTCTCCTGTGAAGCTGCTGACAGACATTTTCAGGATGTTTATATTCACCCTCCCTCCCGACAGCCTGGCTCTATCTTCTTACCCAAATGAAGAGGAGAGGGAAACTCCTCTGGGAGGCCCCAGGATGGGGACAGGGGGATCCAGGACACCGAGTTGAATCAAGTACATTGTTGACGAGTAGAGACAGGTACATTTAAACACAGGATACTTAATTCATATTTCAGTGATAGCCCGGCGGCTCTGCCTGTTTCCCTCCATAAGTTGTTCAGGAGGGTTTGAGACAGCCTGGAAAAGTACAGTCTATAGCTTCCTCCATTAGGAAGAGGTCTGAGGTGTTGGCCTGGAAAGCTAATGAGTTAATTTGCATATTATTTCCACAGCATAGCAGTAAGTTGTCTGGGGTGAAAAGGCAGGGGGTGGGGAAGAGCACAAGTTTCTCTGACCCTCCCTCCCTGCTCCAGCCCTAAACAAACTGGTAAGCCTAGGTTGTGATCTTGGGGCAATAGCCCATGTCCCATCCCCACCCAGTGCCCTAAGCCACCTGCCAACAGAAGCAGTGTCCCACTCATCCCTAGAAACCCGTGGAAGTCTCTCTCTAAGCCTCACAGGCAAGGGCCCTTCTGTAGCCCTTGAAGCCTGGCTATCACTCCCTCGCCTCCCTCCCTACCCTGGGTTTCCTTTTCTGCTCTTCTCCTACCTCCCAGTCTCCCAACAACAGCAGCCAATCCCCAGCCTGCTCTAGAGCCACACCATATATGGAGAGGTTGGAAGGAAACCCGAGTAAAAGCGGGAGTGAACACACACACACACACACACACACACACACACTCACACACACGCAGGGTTGAGTGCTTTTCTGCACATGACCCTGTGTCTCTCTGTGTATAACATGAGCCCCACTGTCCCCTGTCCCTGGCTCACCCCACCCACCCACACACACACACACACAAACCCGGAGGAATGTGTCTGCTCCTGCCCACCTTTATTCAGGCCCCAGGAGACCATCACTCCAACTGGTTGCCTCTGACCTAGATTCCCTGCACTAATTACAACCCTAACGAGATCTAACAAACACCCAACTTAGCACAGCTGAGACCCTCCAGGTCAATTAGTGCAGTCCAGTCCACTTGGGAACCAGGGGCTGGGGTCAGGAAGACAGCTGTATGCCCCAGTCCAACCAGGGGCTGGGGTCAGGAAGATGTCTGTATGCCCCAGTCCAACCACACTGTAACTCCTCGGTTGATCCAAGGATGAGAAGAATGTAAACATTAGTAGGACCTGGTTAAAAATGGAATTTTGGAGAGTTAACCAATGTGGAAAAAACATTTAGGTTGGGGAGCAGTTGGAGAATTTAGGTTCCTAGCCAGGCATTAGAAGGCTGAGGCAGGAGGATGGCACATTCGAGCCATGCCTGGACTAGAGGATTACAGATTCCTAGCTTCCCCTGTGCCATCAGCACAGCGCTGGTGTACCTTTATGAAGAAGAGGGGCTCAGAAAAGCAGCCCCAGAGCCTGGGTCTGCAGCATGGCCTCAGTGGTGACCGCTGGTCCCTTAACCTCAGTCCCCACCCTCCCTGCTGGCCTGGAAGAACTCAGAAGCCACTCCTTTCTCACAGAATTACTCTGCTTAATCTCACTCTTGCTTTTCATTCTTCAAGGTATTAAAACTCTGAGAACAAAAAGTCCTTCCTCCTAAGTGCTGGAGAGAGTTAATGAACACCTACTGCTCTCGCAGAAGACCTGAGTTCAGTTCCCAGCATCTCCATCCACAGCTCACAGCCACCTGTAACTCCAGCTCCGGGAGATTGGGTGCCCTCTTCTGACCTCTGTCGGCACCTGCGCTCATGTGCATATACCCATGCACAGACACGCCAAGAGACATAATTAAAGATCACCTCAAAAGTCCTTTCCTCCTCAAATCCTTCAGGTGGCAAGACAGAGCAATGGAAGGACTCTCCTCTCCTGTGCTAAGGCTGAGCATCTGTGGTGGGAAGCAGGCAGAAAGGACTAGAGGATCCTATGTGCAGATGCAGAAGTGGACTTGGTCTCTTCCCAGCTTCCATCAACTGGAGTGGCAAAGGGCAGCACTCTGCAAAGCCAGCACACAGCCCTCACAGTCCTGATACAGAGACAGGGAACTCACTCTCCCTCATACCCGAGCACCTATTGGCTCTACCTCTACCTAGATGACCAACAGGTATCGTAAAGTGCATTCCATTTATCAAGAGGTTATTAACTGGGGCTCTTGGTGGACCTCCTTCACAAGGTGGGTTTGATGTTCTCCTCATTTTCAAGGTAGGACTGGTGCTTGATGTGAGTTTATCTCGTGATTCACCCTGGACAATGGAGCACGCTGTTGTGGAAGTTCCAGACCCTAGAACATAAGAGATCTTACAATGTCTGCTCTCTCTTAAAATTCAGCTGCATGTAAGAAGCCTCAACCAGCATCCTTAGTGAGAGACAACATTATAGAAGAGGCCCTGAACCCCCACAGCTGAAAGCAGAAAAGCTAAACCAGAGACCAAGGGCCCAGTGAAGCCCAAAGGATCGAGGAAGCTGGCAGAGGTGGTACACAGCTTTAGATTCAGCAGTCAGGAAGCAGGGGCAGGCAGGCAGGTCTCTATGAGTTCGAGGCCATCCTGGTCTACAGAGTGAGTTCTGGGACAAGCTCTGAGGAACTAACAATGCTTGTTACCCGAAGCACGAGGTGCTTTCTTACTCAGCAGTGCATAGTCAAACAAAAAGCTGGTTTGGGGAAGTAGAAGGTCACCATCATTAAAACAGGACTGGTTGCCATTGTGACCAGCTGCAGCTGCAAGCAAGAAGGACCATGAGGACAATTAGTGAGGCTGTGGTAGGCCAGGAGGTACCGGAGACTGGAGAAAGGTTCCCGTGGCACACAGGGGTAGAATGACTGATAAATCTGTTGTCTGTGGTAACTCAGCAGATAGCAAACAGACCTAGTAGACTGGGGGCGTCTTCTGGGTGGAGACTGCAAACACCAATAGGCTCTCTTGCTGTGTGTTGGTAAGATAGCATAAAAGAGA